AACAAAAACAAACAAAATCACTTTCGGGGGTTGGCGAGGTCTGGTTTTGAATTAACTTTCATGTCTGCTTTCCAGAGTCAGCRCCAGTCACAGAAACCAAATCTGAAGTCAGAGCCACCTGTAAATCAGTGTCAAATGAGCCACTAGGGGGCAGGCTTGTCTCAGAGTGTCCCCTCTCCCCCAAGCAATTTTCTACTGCTGGGTTCTAGTCTAGAGCCAGGTGTCATTGTGCCCCTAGAGGGAATGGTCAGCTCGTGGACTCTGCCTCAGGTCTGGGTTGTCCACTTGCCCTTAGCTGGTTTATTTTTCTTTCTCTTCTCCTCCTCCTCATTCTCGTTCTGTCCCCCTTTCTCCTCCCCACCCTCTTTTTTTTTGGTACTGGGGAATGAACTCAGGGGTGCTTAACCACTGAGCCACATCCCCAGTCCTTTTTATTTTTTATTTTGGACAGGGTCTCCCTAAATTGCTTGGGACCTTGCTAAGTTATTAACGCTGGCCTTGAAATTGCAATCCTCCTGCCTCAGCCTCCCAAGCCCTTGACTGCTCTCATGCCCACTCTGTTGTCTTTGAATGTCAAACAATAGCAGTCACCACGCACGGAGGATATATTGTGCATAAAGTTGGGGCTTATTATTTTTATCTGAATTCGACATTGCCACATTACCATTGTACCCATTTGATAAGAGAAAGAGACAGATGCAAAGATGGGCAGTGACTCCTTTGAGGCCACACAGCCTGGGAGGAGTGGGACTGAAATTCCCATGTCTGTCAACACTCTTGGCTGTTACATTATACTGTCCCTGTCCTCAGCGAGGTCCAGTAGCAGCACCACCTCCTCTGGGAACTTGTTAAAGAAACCATTTCTGTGCCCACCTCAGACCTGCTGATCCACTCCGGTGGACCAGTGACCCTGGGTTAACAGGCCCCCGGGGGGAGTCTGGTGCTGACGGAGGCTGAGTGAGGTGGGGCGTAGAAAAAGCTGCCTCCTGGGGGAGATGGAAAACCCTCCCCTCACTCAAATGGAGCTGCTGCTGCTACTAGTTTTGTACCCAGATTTGTTGATCGGTGGCCATGTCGACTTTTGGACATTTGCTACTCCAGCTCAAGTACTTCTGGCGCCTTGGTGTTCACGGTCCCTTGTAGCGTGTGGGTTGAGTGTAAGACCAAGGAGAGCTGACCACGTACAGAAAGACATAGTCCTTGGGCTGCACTCATGGCCTTCCCACTGCCCATGACCATCCCAGCTGCCCAGAATGGACAGAGTGTAATGGAGCCTAGCAGACCAACAATGTCAAGTGCAGACAACCCCCACCTTGTCCCTTCTATGATGTCCGCATCCTCATCCCTAGAACCTGTGAATATGAGCTTATGTTCAAAAGGGATTCTGCAGGTKTGAATCACTGAGGGATTGTGGGTGCATGGGAGGATTTTCCTGGACTGTCCAGTGGGCCCAGGGGGGGTCCTTGTGAGGGGAGGCAGAGGGAGAGGAGAGACACCCCTGCTGACCTCAGAGGTGGATCAGCCATGAGCCATGGGAGGTAGGTGTCCCCTAGGGGCTGGGAAGGCAAAGGAAGAGTCAGCCAAGACCCTCCAGAAGGCAGGCAGTTCACAGACCCCTTGCAGACTTTTGGCCCTCAGGACCATACAAGAACAGACCGGTCCTGCTTTAAGGTGCCGGGACTGTGGCATTTTGTCATAGCAGCCAAAGCAAACTAATACACACTCCTGCTGGGCTTCTTGCATCTCCCAAGTGACTCAGAGCCCCACATGTGCTATTCCAGGGACCTGAGCCATCCTCTCGCCTTCTGCCTGTCCCTTCAGCTTTCCCACCTTGGCCAGAAGTC